TCAATTTTTTTTAAGAATTAAAAAAGATTTTAACAAAAAAGTATAAGTTCTTTTTATAAGATTTAAACTTTTTACTTAAGAATATTTAATCTAGAAAAGATAATAACAAAGATATTTTAATTGAAAAATTTTAAACAATTAGATACTTTCTTTTATAATTATTAGATAATATATCAAGCTTATAGAATATGTAAAAAGATATAAAAAATTATTAAAAATAATAATTCAATAAATTTAAAGAAATTATATTAATTAAAAGAAAATATAATTATATATAAATTAGTGGTGACCTGTGGGTTTATAGTATAGTGATTAATACTCCACAGGTCAAATCACAAGATACCAGTTTAACCCTATATGAGGACAGTTGAACAGAATTAATATGATATCGGTGCCATAATCTGTATAAGCGCTGTTTCTCATGAGAAGCCATATCATATGCTGATCCAGCGGACATTGAGATTGTGATTTCCAGAAAAGGTGTTATTGCATGATGATCATCTGGTTGGTGTTACAATGATCGCCGGAAGTTGTAAGGTGTATAAGGTGTCTACTTTTGGTAAAAATGGCTTGGTGATCGTTTCCCCGTAGTATCTGGTATCTTTTCCTGCAAGTTTCCAAAAAGATCTTATTTCAATCCAGAAATAGATCATTCCAACAGTTACCTATCCCAAGAAGGCAGCCAAAACAGCAGTAAGTACCAATAGCTGAAATAATCTATGGGCCATAAGTCTATGAGATAAGTTCCTTAAACATTTTTGGGTAGCTCTAGAAAGGTGAAAATTAAATGGTACGCCCATCTGCAGGTGGTCAGGTTTAGAAGGATTCTCTCTGCAGTGGTTCTATTCACCAAAGAATAGGTACTACCCCCAGTTTCACACATTCAAACTTCCCCTTTAAATTTACACAGTACCAAATAGAACATAATGATATAATAACAACACTAACAGGGCTTTGGCATGTTAGCCTCAGCACAACCCCTCTGGGGTAAATGCTGACAGCAACAAGCTGATATGGAGTAGGTCCGATATAGCCTAGCGATATATAGAATTATTTATAGATAGTAGTTCCTGTAATACATGAATTACATATATGAATAAAATAATAAAATACGCCAGACAAGGCCCAGCTGGTTGATTTAAAAAATATATATATATATATTGGTGGTATAAATAAAAAAAAAAAAAATAGGTAACAAAAGTAAGATTAATAAATTTATATTAATGAATTTAGTAACAGAAATGTAATAATTTTTTTAGAATTTCAGGAAATAAAAATATTTAAGAGAATATATTTCTATAGTATTTCTATATTATATAATGCAAATTATATAACATGTGACATTTAGAACTTGAATTAAATATGAAATTATTATTAATATATAGTAAAATATCAATAGAATTATTATTATTCTTCTTATTTGACTTATTTGAATTATAAAAGATGTTTCTATAAATAGTTTAATGTAATATTAATTAAATGTATTAATTAATGTTTATTATTTGTTTATTATTTGTTATTATTTTACTTTTATCTTTTATATGTATATAATCTCTGAAAAATCCATAAAATTATATGTATTATATTATAATATGTATTATTATTTTATTTATTTATATCAAAAAATTATTTATATAATTATATGAGATTATTCTTATGAAAACATTAATAAAGTTTCTTGAAACTTAATAAATTTTTGATAATTATTATTATAATATTCTATGAGAAGTAAATTAATATTCAAATATTTGATAAAAGATTTCAAAAAACTTTTAAATACAGTATATTATATAGAAATTTTTTTCTGGATACTTTAAAATATTTAGCATTAGAAAATATTTTATTTTAAAGTATTTTATCTAAAAAAAAATTTTTTTTTAAATACATTTTATAACAATTTTTGATATTTTTAATAAAGTTATCGTTAAGCTTTATATGAAAACGATCATATACTGTATACATATTTGATAGTTCGTGACCTCATGTTTACTATTTTTATAAGGCGATAAAGTTTCAATAACAAACAGACACCCACATATCACCGCATATGGCGAGATACACATAGATACGGTGTGCATTCGCAAAGAATACAAATTGGAAAATAAGTCCGCTCCCGGATTAACGGGATGATATCTCCATCGTCGTCATGTGAAAAATTTATACCGTAATAATTATGTAATTTTTAATAAATAAAATATTTGTTTTTCGTGATATTTAAAAATAATATTTTTTCTAAAATACAGTCTATAACTAAAATGGACTCATAGTCAATTATCGTTGAGTCGGACTTTGGATGCTTACGTAGTCACAAGCTGCCAATAAAAATTCATAGACAATTTATTTATAGACAAGCATCTATTATGTCAGTTTGACATGCATTAAAAAATTTCTTTCGAGTTGCTTTATCGGTACATTGGTCTTGGCAAATGTACGACATTCTGCATTTTATTTATTTACATCACACAAACTACAAATTTTGGTTGCCTTTTTTTCACTACAATAATTATAGAAACATATTTTTGAGTAACCCCGCACTCAAAAAAAGAAGTGTTTAAACCGGAAAGCCCACCTTAAAACAATGGAAATTAAAATGCGTCCGAAGAAATACTGCGGATAAAAATGTTTCATCATCCGTCCTCTTACGATTAATTGCATATCGTTTCACTGTTCAATTTTTATATCTGAGTGCATGGTTCAGTGAATGACCTTCCGGCGTAAGAGGAATCATATACTGTATTTTTTTTTATCCCCATCACCATGGATCGATCTGAAATGCGCTGTACCTGTTAGATGTACCTGTTACACTAGATTTAGGGTGTATGTACCGTACGTATGCCAGTATATATACCGTATATAAACCCATACTCTTTTCTTTTTTTACAGTATTAATAAAATCCGGCTTTTATTCTCAAAAGAAGTGGAGCCGACCACATTTGAAATCCCATAATAATATCACACGCAAAACGAAATGAAATTGAAAACATTTTTTTACAACATCTCCTTACGGCAAAGAATATTACAAAGAAATAGGTTGTTAATATTAATGTTTGTGGCGGTTATGTTAATAGTGAAATTTTGGAATCAAATGGATCCAGGTATTATAATGGACTAATTTTATTTCCTTTCGTTGTCGTCAACTCATCATTCATGTGTTTATAATTCTTTACACGATCAACAGACGATATTTTGTGTGAAACTTGCGATTTGGAATATACAAATGAATACGACGGCATATACGTAAACCCTGATAACGATGCTATATCAGATAATAATATAACTAACGAATACGACAAAATAGCTAAAACAGACGTCGCCCACCCGGTTGAATATCGACCACCGGCGATTCAACCGCTGGTGAATCCCGAAAAGGAATACAAATTTACAGTGGTATCAGGGGCAAGCAGAAATCACTTTTGTCCATTGAAAAGCTGGATATATTTGACGAATAAAGTGCTCAAAGGCTTTGATGCCAGGATTGTCATTTATGATCTTGGTCTGTCAAAGAAACAACGAAAAGGACTTTTGAAACTTGTCAAGCTTGGATACATAACAGATCTGAGAACTTTCAAATTCTCCGAGTATCCATCATTCTGGGATATTTCGATAGCACGTGGTGAATATGGATGGAAACCCGCAATAGTAGCAGAAGTGGCGAGAGATTATCCCGGTATATTGATATGGTTAGATTCAGGTACATTAGCCGAGCGTAAATATTTTGTAAATCTTCCGAAGCTATTGAAGAAATACGATGGCTTCATTTCACCGGTATCCCAAGGACAAATGAAAAAATGGACTCATCCGGGAGTCTACGAATACTTTGGCGATGAACAGTGGAAATACGACAATTATCTCAATTGCAATGGTGCCTCGTTGACTTTTGATACTTACATAACAGAAAAATTGATTGACGCATGGTACAGATGTTCGTTGGATAAGAATTGTATAGCCCCGCCTGGAAGTAGTAGAGCAAATCATCGACAGGACCAGAGCATCTTAACGTACCTGGCAGCACGTGACGGGTGGTTTTGTAGTCTTCGGCCTCCGAAACTCTGGTTAAAAACACATCAAGATAAAGGTTGTAGGTCGATCGTGAAAACATTTGAGACAAAGAAAAAAAAAACCAACTGAAAAATTTACATGAACCCATAGATCGTAGGGATTGTTAAATTCCGAAGCAATTTATTCAGGGGGGCATAGATGTATAGATAAAAAACAGATCAGTCTTTTACAGTATGATTATTAAGTGTTTATAGAAAACTCGATCAGTTAATTAATCTAATAATATAATATATCGGTTTTAACGGTACACTGGATTTATTGTTGCTGTCCGAACGTCAAAACTATAATAAACAATTTGCCCGTGACAAAATCACAAAATCACAAAATTTAGCATTCAGTTACCATATATTTTTTTAAAAAAGTTCGACCATTCGTTCAGATTACGAGTGTTTCGGTTGAATAAACCGAGATAACTTGTTATCGATAGGTTCGTTATCAAATGATTAAAACAATCTTGTCCCATTGGTTGGCCGAAAATTGATCAAAGTAAGAGAAGACCGATTGTTTAAAACTAAATACGCATTCATTTAATGCAATGCGCGGTTTCAAGATAATTGATTATCATCACACACGCAGAGGAGACTAAACAAACAAGGAACATTAATTTTGCCGTCACATTCTTCATTTATCAAAAGTGCCAATTAGACGAAAAAGAAAACCAAATAGCTTCCATCTTTAGTAGGCCTAGAAATTTCCTATTAAGAAAAAAGAAAAACTTGATTTCTATGATTGCAAGATTATTTTTGGTGATGTTGTTAAATTTATTTTTAAGACAATTTTAATTTTTAATTTGAGAGTTTAATGCAGTAGATTTACTTGGCTGCAAATATTATCAGTCAATATTTTAATTTTTAAGGCACATATTTTTTTGGTTATTATTTATTTATTATTTTATGCAACGACAGAAATTTAAGTCTTCTATTAAATTTTGAAACAAATTGTTATTGGCCGAGCTCTTTAGCGGTTTTCCAAATTTTGATTCTATCGGCCATTTCCTCTTCGATCTCGAAGTCAATGTGTGGTTGCGCGGCCCACCGTTCGCTAACCGATTTGATTCCTCCCACCCCTACGGCTGTGTCTAAATCAATCTTCAGAGCGCCTCCAAACATCAAATTTCGTTTATGCGTTAATTCCCGTTCATACATTCGCGTAATTTCCGAAATATAAAAATTCGACAAGGGCGCTTGAATATAGGTCGCGTCATCTACTTTTTGTTCGTCCGGTGGAGGTTGTTTCTTGGGAGTACCTGACTTGGAAGTTTGCTTTGATTTTGACGAGGATTTACTCTTTTTTTTCTGTTTTTTCGGAGAAGACGAAGGAGATGATTGGGCTGAATTCGGCAGAGTTGACGACAACGCGTTAGTTATCATCAAAGGGCCGAACAATATTTTATTATTCTGTGATAGTATGCTCTCCATCGATTTCAAAATTTCTTCAAAATCATCGATGATTTTATGAATCTTTGTTAATACATTTTCGATTTCACGAGATTGTTTGTATATAACCAAGCTTAATGTTTGTGATGTTAAAACTTGATCCAGAGGATTTAAAGAAATGGAGGAAAAGTTCACGTTCGTGACTAGTCTTGATATCGTTGCGTCGGAAGCACTGATGTTTTGCAAGACATCGGTAGTTGTATGTCTCTGCGTCAGGATATTTATTAGTGACGAGAATAATGCACACGAATGGCTATGAATTGATGACCAATCTTTACATAAACTGTCAAGACGGATAAGGTGAGTTATGTGCTGGGGTGCAGGCATTTTTAAAAAGTAGAATCTTCGAATTTTCTGATGTACTGTACGGGTTTTGTGGGTCGCACAAATGTAATCACCGATAATCAGTTAGCATCCGACTCTGATCACAACACGTTTACCGCTTTTTTTTTCTTCGAATTGATATGATTCTTGTTAAATAGTTATCTTTATCGCGCCGGTAGATGATGGTTCACGGAAAGGTAGTCTCCTCAAGAAAATTTCTTGCGCCTGCAAAAGAATCTCTGCTGGATTACACAGAGGAAGGAGAAAGTTCTTCAACATCGATTCCAAACGACACCGATGAAAAAAGCTTTCCTTCATCGGAATATGATTCAGAATTTATTCAGCCGCAAGATGAACCCTTTGAAACATCAGATGGAATGGAAACAGATGTGAATCATTTGCCCATTAGCGATGTCAAGGAGATTGATAAGGTGATCCTGGATGGAAAGATCGTGGTAAAAGTCGACCGCCCTTGGAAGTGTAATCACGAGGGGTGCGATAAAGCATTCAAGGTTAAATCCAACTTAAAGAGGCATCAGATTTCACACACGGAATTGGTAAAAACATCCTTCCGAGAATTTCTTGTTTTCGTTTTTTTTTTTTTTCCTTTTTTTTTTTATAGATATGTATCTTTGAATAAATACAGAGGCCCTTCAATTGTCCGGTTCCCGGTTGTGGTAAATCATATAGACGTCTCGATCATCTGCAAAGT